GGTAACTAAAAACAAGTCGCATTTCCCCGGCAGATCGCAAATTTTCACAAAAAAAAAAACTAGGCGCTTGATAATGATTTCGCTGCACAACTTGGTTTTGCAATCGAAAAATCGATTCTAAGAAAGCGCCGTAGTATAGTTGTTATTCAAGTTATGATAGCTGGCTTGAGAATTATGATACTGAGAGCAGTTAAACTCTCCTAAATGTAAAAGCGCGAAAACCAAACAGCTCAAATCCTCCATTCCTGAGCCTTCTGAAGTCCAGGAATCACTAGGACGATGCATCTCTTTTCCCCAATTCACAAAAGAAAAAAATTTATGCGCAAAAAAAAAATTGAAAGCTATCCGTACCTAGCGACCCAGCGATGCTGCCCTTGAAGCAAAGCGTAGCCACTCTAGATCTCGCCTAATCCAACACTCAGATGCACTTTTTCCTACAGCCTCTTTGAAAAATGGTTTCAAATTTGTGGGCTTGTCAACTGCTTGGATTTGCATTTCGAGCCAAAACTCAAGTATGTCCAAAACCAAAAGGAACACTCATTGCCACCCAGACCAGGCAAGAGTCAAGCAATCAAGAGGAATGGTCGAGATTTGAGATTGACAGCAAAAACAAGTGAAAGGGTTTTAAGGGAGCTGGAGACAGTAAGAGAAAATACTGAGCATCGGAGAGAAATGATTACTGAAGGCCTTCCACCTTCATGGGTTTTAAAAAAATTTGGTTATTAGCGAAAGAAAGACGACGAAAATTGGTTTGTAAAAAAAAAAAAAACTGGGACGCTGCATGGAAAAACAGTTAAAAGAACGGACGAAGATGTACAACTACAGGCGGATCCAGGGCGGTCTTCCACGGGGAAGGGGGGAGGGAAGGGGGAGGAAGGAAAGGGGCGAGGGAGCAATTTTTCATCTCTCCTCCCTTCGACATTACATCCTCCTTGGCTAGCTTCCAGCCCACCTTTCAATCGTCATGCTGTCCCCTCCCCCTCCCCCCTTCGGTCTCACCAACAGACACTAAACTGAGGCTGACAAAGCTTCTGGGAGGCGCGACAGGGGGTACCTAGCAGGCTTTTATACAATAAAACAACGCAACCTATGCCTCTGGGGGCCTCTTCCTCCCCTCCCCCACCCCCCCCC